TAGTACGCTTGCACGCAGTCCAATTTCAATTCTGCCGTGAATATGAATACAGTCTTGTTCGCTGGGCACCAAACTTGTTTTCCAGCAGTTGTTGAAGCGAGCAAGCTGCACTGTAATCGTTCGTATCAGTCGCTTTCCGCCATAGTTGCGCTTACACGCTTAAACAACTAGTAAAAACGAGTCTGGCGCCGCGCCGAACCCAACCCGTCGGCCACTTCCCCTCATCCGCAGCGAACCAGACTATAGAGGATGTTATCAAAGACTCATTAACCACTTACAGATTCATGATGTATCGAAGTAGCGAACACAACTGCCAAATTAGCATTGTGCATTCCGATACAAGGGACATCTTCGAGTCTAATCAATGACTGAGTGCGCATTCCTCCAACTATTTCAGCATTTGATGAGCTTAAATGCAGATGATGATTAGCCAGAAGTGAAAAAGAAGTTAGAGTTCTAAAATAAACATGCGACTAAACTGGTGCTACAAAGTATGGTCGCGTTATAAAGTACTATAAAGTCACGTATATGTGGTCAAAACTTCCTCGAAAAATGAAGCGAGTTAAGAAAAGTTAAAGCGGCACTGCGGGTAACGTCATATCGTTCCAGCATTTTTTCAGAGGACGATAAATCCGACGTATGAACGACGTATAGGATTGATGCGCCTAGCAGGGCAGATTGCTGCGTCCCTGGGCAGGGCGTTGCGTGGCGCCCTTTCCGAGGAAGGTACTCGTATAACGCCCTATCCAGCTGCAACATGGCGACTCTGACGTCTACCGCGTCCGCCTGTCCACAAATGTCCGACCGATGCTGATGCTCGTATCGCTTCATTTGCGAAGTACAGTATGAAGCGAAAGGAATGATATGAAGCGGCTGCGGTGCTGCATGGATACATAAGTACACACATGTTGCCATATCTATCCGTAGGGGTTCAACTGGCATATATAAAAACGGGACGGATTTCGTCTGAAAACCGCCTTCTAGTCGTGTAAAACAAAGGGCTTTTTTTGCAGGTTTCCGACTCTTTCCGCTATTCCACTGTATCGCACTTTAACTACCATCCTGGACCTAGAGTACCCAGTTTAGAATTTTTGCACCCTTATACCGTCGAATAAAGAAAGAACTCTACAAATCACGTAGACGCACAATCTACCTTCAAGCAGGATAGCTACACAATTCTGAGAAATAGTACAAATCGCCTTACACGTTAAGGCCGTGTTCATACTTCACAACATGAGCGATTCAATCGCGCTATTCGGTAGCAGCTCGAGTGCTATAATACCTCTAGTCAATGAACCGTAGCAAGGGTCGGAAGGATTTCAGTCCTGAACCGATTGAAGCGATTGGCGGCAGATAGTGGGGTACCGCGATTTCGGAATCTGATTGCGGCATAACTTCGCATTTGTTTCCTAAACTCATGGAAATAGCAGCTGTTCCATGGAATCGCAACGAGTGCACGAAGCGTTCCGGTTGAGAAGTGTTTTGAACCCGGAAACCACATTCGGCTTACACACTACAACATCGAAACTAGTTTGGTGCCAGGATAGTACACGATATGTCCTGAGTAAGGTCGAACGTTTCAGCGAATAAAAAAGGAAGCTTACCTTGAACCATTAACAAAAGCTATAACAGGACGGCATTTCCCACTGGTAATAAGCGGAAAATATTTCTCCTTCAATTCTTCTGATCCGAACAACAATAACGTATTTGCTAGAGCATTCACCGCTACTACGTTTGCATAGATATTCCAGTCAATGCTAAGATCCTAAAAGCGGATAAAGTGAGAGGTGCATTTATGACGTATCTCTCTGATTCTAACCTCAAAGATTTTCACACGATCCTTGAATCCCATTCCAAGACCGCCGTATTCCGCGGGCGATAATGCCGCAAAGACTGCGCTATCGTTCAGTGCTCCTTTGACTGCGTCTGTTAAGCTGCCTTGTCTCTCCAACTCAGTGTGATCGACTAAAAGGAGTTAATCTCTCGCAAAGGTGAACAGACCGATACGACGGATTTCGGCGGAGGGGGCAGAGGGCATTCCACACTTCCGCTGCTTCACTAGTTCTGGTTTGCAAGTCTTACTCCAGTGAAACTTGTGGATCCTTTTGTGGACCTGGAGCAACCTCGTCCAGCCACCATGGTAAATGGTATTTGTATGGTATTACATTGCTTTACAAAAGTTGACAGGCGGTCTCTACAAACTTTGCCAGGTATCATTATGTGGTCTCAAGATTCCATAGTCTTCGCTTGATGGCTCGACACGTCGGCGGCAAGTAGCAAAAGTGCATCCCTCCCCCGTCGCCGAAC